AACACCACATCACAATAACAACAATGGAAATAACACATTAGGTACAGCTGGGGAAAGTTCCAAGTGCTACACTCTCCCTGAAATGTGAACCCATCAGTGAGTCATAATCCACCCGGTAGAGTCCATCATCTGGTGACAGTGGGTAGGGGGGTTGGGTGGGAGGAGTGTGTGCAGCATACAGCTGTCATGTTACTGATTTCTGCTGGTTAATTATAGATGTAGGTAGAAGTTATTATGACTCAGAGATATGTGTTTACATATTCCATAAATATATGAATATAGAAATATGTAAATAATAGAGGGAGGAAAGGAGGACACAATGTAAAATACTGAAGCTTTCCATGCACTGGTGACGTTAACAATATCAGTAGCTAATCACAATACAGCCAAGGTATTGTCAGGATCATATTAGTATTTTAGCTTATTATCACCTCTGAATTCTCATATGAATTGGCAGGAGGGACAACAAGCTTTGAGAGGAAGAATTGTGGGCCTGAGGGAAAGTGACCTCTCCATCTGAGCTATTGGTCATCTCCACACACACTCTGGGGCCAAGTGGGTAAAGCGGTGGGTGGAGAGCGGCAATTTAAAATATAAAGGTATGCATGGTTTTCTCTACATCAAATAAACCTGAAAACTATGTTATTATCCAGTTAGGCATGCTGATTCAGTGAATAATATTAGGTTAATGACAATAGAGATATTGTACTTCTCTAAGTGTCTTCTATATTTTTCTCAGCTAGGTGATCCCGCCCACGTTTGAAGACTCCTGAGGAAGACGGAAGGATTATACAAGTGGACCAGCACAACCCCTTCACAAATGCGGTCACGATCCGCAAAGATCTTGGGTTGGAAGTGACCACCAGGACTGTTCACAATAGACTGCATGAGGCAGGTATCCACCACTGCATTCCCACCAAGAAGGAATGGTTGACTGAGGAACATTGTGCTGACAAACTAACCTTCACTCGTCGGCATGTGAAGGAACCATTGGACATATGAGAAAAAGTTCTCTTCACAGATGAGGGAGACCTTTTGCTCCAAGAATCACGGCAGAATTCACTTGTGGAGATGGAATGACACAAGGTTTAGTTTAAAATGTAATTTGTATTTAAACCACTGCCATTAGTAATATATAATTAATAACTTTGCATTTAAGACTGATTATATACTATACTATATAAAACAGGTTAAAGTAGCACTTCATTATTTAAGGAATTATTATGTAATTATAAAAAATCTATCAATCTATAATTTCTGAAATTCTCAGATTAGGTTGGGAACCCATTTCCAAATGCAAGTAAACACATAATATATTTAAGATGCGACTAATAATGGTTTTAAATGGCTCTTCACCATGTTGTATATCATAAACCTGAGTGACAATTTTCCTTTACAGGTATGACCATGACCACATCTTTGAGGAGGCACCGAGTGGACACGTGACCTACAACATGTGGGGGTGGATGTCCGTTCATGGTGTAGGTGACATTATGCAAATTGAGGGAAGATGTAATGCCAAAAAATATGTTGATGTATTTGAGAACTTTTTCCTGCCCTCCCTTCACAGAAGGAGTTTTCCCTTTCCCCCTGGCCCCATCTTTGTGCAAGATAGATGCCCAGTCCATACAGCTGTAGCTGTTCAGCTCTGGTTTTCTGGGCATTAACACAAACAGCTGATGGACTGGCCAAGTAAAGGGGCAGTAATGAACCCCATAGCACAAGTGTGGGCTAATCTCATAAACACTTGGGAGCTAGATAGGGAGAGAACATCTGCAGAGTTATTCGTCCATGCAAGAGCAGAATGGGAGAGATTTGCAGAAAGCCTCACATCACCCACAACCTTGTGACCTCAAGTCAGACAGGTTTTAAGCAGTGACAGAGAAAGAAGATTGCTGGACGGGGTACTGAAGTTATTGATTCGTGGAACAAAATGTCTTCTCATCTGTGAAGACAACCCTGTCCCCAAATTCCAACACCTCCTCCACATGCTGACAAGTGAAGGCTAGTTTGCCAGCACAATGTTCCCCCAGTCAACCGTTCCTTCTTGGTGGGAATGCATTGGTGGAGACCCACCTCATGTTGGTATCCAGGGCTTGTGAAGGTTATATTCTGGGCAGCTCCTATGATCCTCGCGTCTTCACTAGGAGTCGCCATTTATTGCAACAATCACTGTTGTTTGCAATTCTGTCATCTTTTGCAATCAGTCTCTTTATATTAGTGAAATATAAGTTTGATGATTGGCTTTATTACACGTAAAATGTTTATTTGCCAAGTTTAAACTTTCCCTCTTCCCATCCATTAATTATTGGTAGCTATTTATTCCTTTTATCACAATGTGTATCATTGATTACATAAGTTATGGCTCCTTGATGCTCAAAATGCAATCCATCGCAGCTACTCTATTTTGCTGCCAGTTACTTGGAACTGAGAATATGTAAGTAATTTCACCTTTTAAGACTTTATTATACCTAATGCCATTATTACATCACTACTGCCTAAAAGACCAATAATTTTCAAACAATTTCCTTTTCTCCCCCTTCAATTATGAAATGGTGATATTTGCCATTTTATATTGGAATATTCAAAATGCATGTGGTGTGGTGTGGTAGTGGTGATGGGTGACAGTTGCTACTGTAACGGGGTCGGCTGCAGTTGAGGGGAGGAGGGAGTGTCTGGGGGGATATGGGGATTGATGTGAGGAATGGAGGCTATGGCAAACTACTGCCATCTTATGAACCTTAAACACACAATATTATGTTAATACCATTAACACTGTTGACAGTAAAATATATCAGTGATAACTATGGTCCCCAATTTGGTAGCAAATAAATCCTGCACATAGTTAAAGACACATACAAGCCACTCAGGTAGACCCAGGGTGAGGCTTGGTGTACACTTGGATTTACTCGGTCACACACTCTACTACAAGAGAAAAATGTAATACAGTATGCCAAAGGTTAACCACCTCTTGTAATGGGTATAATGACGATCAGTCTCACGGTTAGGGTGAGTGAACCTGACATATTGCTACATGTCTCACCAAACAGCTGGGACATTATAAAAGACAGCAATTTTGATCATTAGTGTTGCCTCGACCATTATGTCTTACTCATGAGACTGCCCTCTCTTGCTCTAGGGAGGCAACATTACTATTTTCATATTTTCTGGGCACATTTGACAACATTTGAACTGTTATGAAGGTTGTCTCTGTACAAAAAATTACTTACTTGCTCTTAACTCATATTAGGTCCCTTCTGCCTTAATCTATCTTTGTTATACAGAAACAACAGCATCCCTCACATTATGGAAACCCAGGTTATGGAAATTTGAGCTTAAGGAATTTTGAAATTATGACCCAAAATTTCAGGATACGGCCAAAAAACTTGCCCTTACAGAATTTTGGTTAAAAAAAATAAATAAAATAAAATAAAATATCGCAATGTACAAAAATGAATTTCACCGAAAAATGTAAAAAATTTTCGTATAGATTCTTGGGGGTTGTGTTGGGTGGGTGCACCGGGCGCCTACCCAACACAACAACAGTGGAGCTGCTCAGATCGATTAAATTCCCCAGCTTGTGTTCAGTTTTGCATCTGTGTTACTGTATTTACTGTTCTCTTATTTAAGATGAATGGAAAAATGCCATCAAGTTCAAGTGAAAGCGGTGGTGATAAAAGATTCCACAAAGGATTTATGTTGGATGTTAAATTTGATGTTTTAAGGAGACAACTCCAATGTCACCACCTTATGCAACACTCAAAATTGTTTCTGATAAATTAAATTCAAGTGTTTTGTGCATTTATCGTCATGTTACATCATGAATGAATCATTGTATGTGATTAAAACTGTTTATTTTCATGCATATATGTGCTTGTATTATTATTTTTTCTCCCTTAAAAAATTTCCTTGGGAACATCTCAAATTGTATAATGAGAGTCAATGAGAAAAATGGTCCCGTATTACAGAATTTTGCATTACGGACAAATTTTCAGGAACGGAACCTTCTCGTAACCCGAGGGATGTCTGTACGGTAATGGCAACTTCCTCGGTGACTACCACCACCCCTAACCGTCCACCTCCCATCTCGCTCCCCCCTTATACAGTGTTACCAGAATAACAGAACTCAACAAGTTGCTTCGAGCTCATTGGTAACCCATATGCAGGGTTCAACTTTTCAACTTCATTAGTGGGTGTAGTTATTCAGAAACTTCCACAGCTGTACTTGAGAAAAATTACTAGGAGGCATTTTCTATAGTGTACACCAAAAAATTATATTAAGTTAAAGATAAAGTGTCCACATACGGTATATCCTTTCTGCCAAGCCTTATGCAAAATGTAAACTGGCAACTGAGATAAAACATCGTGGGCTGTAAGGTTATGAAAGTGGAGATATCAGTTTTAGTACCACGGTGTTATCACAGACTGGTACAGAAAACTTCTACCCATGCACCCGAGAGGAAGGTTGGGTACAGGGATTAACCTCTCTTTCCCACTCAACAATAGCCAATACTGTACAAGAAAGAAATTGGAGCACACGTATAAGCCTCATCAAGCTTATTAGCAACAGCTCTCAATAATTTGTATACAAAGACACTGAGAGGTAGACAAGTGAGAAAGACTGAGACAGCCATAGAGATATGAGATAAGGAGGAGATCATAATTGTATTTCTGGCTGTAACCATTCAACAGAGTGTGTTAATACACAACAACAACAAGAATACACTCCTGACTCAAAAATGGATATATTCTCTCCCTAATAATCCTGAGTAAATATGATTATATATATATATATATATATATATATATATATATATATATATATATATATATATATATATATATATATATATATATATATATATATATATATATATATATATATATATATATATATATATATATATATATATATATATATATATATATATATATATATATATATATATATATATATATATATATATATATATATATATATATACTATAAACAAATATCAAATAAAATGTGAGTCTTATTCTACAACAAAAAATTAAATAAATGTTCATTATGTACAAGTTAAATCACTCGAGCACAAATTAAAAAAATTCACTTAAGTTACCTAATCTAACGCCAGTCAGATTATGTGAGCAACTAGACTGTCCAAGCACCCCAATGTAATTATATTTTGTTGTCACTCAGCAAAGGTGTGACATAATCTTACAACTTATACTGTAACTTACCCCAATTAAAAGAAAATCTAATTGAAACTGTACTGTAAGTCTAAAGATTTCAATTCATTATCAAATTTTCAACCATGGAGATTGATGGGTGTCACCATTATCACTTCTTTGACTGATAATATAAAGTGAGGCATTTCATAAATATTTCTCAATCATACATACTGATTATGACAAAACCAATGGTTGTCGTTATCATCGCCTCTTTGACTCATATTGTAAATCTAGACATTGCTAATCATTACCAACTTCTTTATCATACACAGTGAGGATGGTATTACCAGCATCTACCACCACCATCACCTATATATTTAAAAGCATCAAACTCTGGAGAGAAACTCAGAACAATCTATTCTTGATGACTGTGACCATTCCACTGTGAAATTGTGGATACAGCTTCACTGCGGGTCCTTCTGTGTATGCTAGTGTGGTGTTTCAGACCATTCTGGTTGTTTGAACTCTCACCCTGTTTGCTTGATGCTTCTTGGCTCATGACCCGTTGATCGTATGCACTCATGGTCACGTCAGTTTCAAGATTATCCTTCACCTGGAAATAAAAGACTTAAATATCAGGGAAATGCAATACTGTACAGAATACTGTAAACACATTTTTTTATGATACTTTTGACTCACAACACTGAAGTCCTAATAATAAAGACAAATCAACTTAAGAATCAATACATGTTTTCTGAATCTCTGCCATCAATAATAAGAACATAAGAATGGAGGAAACTGCAGCGGAGGTGTGTCTTTCAGAGGTGAAGTTAACACAGGTAAAGTAGTGTAGTGGGTTTCCACAATTTGCAAAATCATTTAGCCTTTAATGCCTGATGGGATATCCAGAGTTTGCAGACATTCAAATCTTAATACAGTACTGTACTGTAATCTTAAATAAGGAATAATTATACTACCTATTCATTTTACACTACAGCGTGTACAGTATAGGTTGAACCTCCCTAATCCGGCACCCTTTGGACCTGACCGGTGCTGGACTATAAAATTTTCCGAACCACAGGTGGTCTTTGTAAAATACATAGTATTATTGATGGCCAATTTGGCGCATCATGTTTAAAATTTTGCGCCTAATGTTTCTCTGGGCACGCTACACTGTCCTAAGGGCAAAGCTGAACTGTACATGTACTCAAAATAATGTACTAAGGGATTACTAAAAAAAAATTCTAGTGTAAACTATTGCATGATTATGTTCAAATTAATCACCAACTTATAAGAATTCGAGCAATGTAAATTATATTCTCCCCGGTCACTTCTGTGACATTTTATAAGCAAAAAACATAAACTTAAGCTAAAGACATAAATAAACAAATAAATACTTCACTAGACCTTCGGCCCCAACTGTCAAACATGTCACTGTCACCCTATCTTCCCAGCCAGGGTTTGGTGTTTTAGGCTTAAAGTTTTTATCTTAAATAATGTCACACAGTAAAGTTAAGTGAAAATAATTTGTATTGCTGGAATCCTTGCAAGAAAGAGAATAATTTGAATATAAATGTCATATATTTTGCACAAGAGATAAATATTTTTGCTCTCTGTAATAAAATTCTTAAATTAGAACTAAAATTTGTATGTCTAATGTGAGCGATAGCATGTTTATATTCAAATTAATCACTATGTTATAAGAATTCCAGTAATGTTAATTATATTCTCCCATGTTAGTTCAGTGACATTTTATAAGAGAAAAACTTAAAGTCATTCTTCAGGACAGATAAATAAATAAGCACTAGACCTTGGCATCAACTGTCAAACATACCACCTCACCTCCCCCCCCCCATCCTCCCAGTCAGTAAACAAACCATTTCTCATCCCTTAATTTTAGCTGTGTTCATTTATGAGTGTTTGTTTTAACATAATACTACAAAAAACAATGTTTTGTTTACTCTAGGAGATAATGCATCCTCCAAAGGCATGAATTTGCTACCAGAGTTTAACAGTTAATTTATGTATAATACTTGTGACAAACTTCCTACGTGCTTATGTTTGAAATAATGAATGTACGTATGTATCTTTATATAATTTAGCTTAATATCTTTCTCATCAGAAACGGTCATTCCAGCGATTATGAATAAACTGATTTAGAAATACATCATTACTTCATGACAAAATCGGACAGGTTTGCAACAGCCAATCAGCTGTAACTCTTGAGGAGGGGGCGGGGCATCTTTTCTTAGCTGAGAAAAAATGCACTAGTTATATTTAACACTACAATCATTCAGCTCATCATACTTCTCATCATCATCAAACCCCCTATACTCCCAAAAGTCCTATGGCGACGGACGAGTGGCAGAGATGACTGCCGGGAGTCTCCAGCCACAACTCTGCAAATGGGCGGCATATATAAGATGGGCGTTTATACACTGGGATCTAGGCAGCAGTGCAATCCGGTCCTGTCTTTGTGACTGAGCAACCCTCTCGAGGACCCACTCTTCTCACCCCACATGGGGAGGGAGTTAGGAAAGGTGCCCTAAACATATCCTGCCTAAAGAACCAACCTGAATGGGCAACCGCACCCAGTAAGGTCATCCTTATTCGGTCAAAAACACAATCATAATCACAGATCCAAACAAAATCAAACTATACAACCTCTAATGTGAACATCGCCCATGACCCCACTTGGACTTACCCAACCTTAGGTAATTCCCAAATGACCCACTGCCACATACCTGTAGCAGCTAATTCATCAAATAGACAGTGTCAAACTTGGCTCATAAACTCATACAAGTAAAAATGTTTTTTTGTTGACCATATTAACTTATTTCACCATTACATTTCTGTAGTTACTTACAAGGGGTCCCCGGGTTACGAACGGGTTCCGTTCCTGAGGACGTACTCAAGTCAAAAATGTACTTAAGTCAAACCACATACCCTATGTGCATATCGTACTTACAGAACAATGTTTAAAATCCCACTATATCATAGCTTAAGTCCCTATATACATCTAAAATCACTTAATTTAAGAGAAAAGAAGAAGTAAAATGACAAACTACAGTAAATGAAAGTAAAAAATAAATCGAGTATATAAAATGCTGTAAATTTAAAGTTTAACCTCGTTCAGCGGGCGTTTGTAAGTAGGAGACCCCCTGTATTATTAGGTGATAAAACAGTAACGAATTGTGTGTGAAGATTATTCTTTTAATAAGGTATTGCTTTACTCACCATAAGCTGGCTGCATCTACCTTATCCGGGGGCTACATTAAATAAATTTCTCAATCACTTCGCGGGCTGCACAAAGACCTGGTCTGGGCCGCGGGTTGCTCATGCCTGCTATTAGATACATAAATACTGTACACAGAATATAGTAGATGGAAAATTATCCAAAGGGGTCCTTGTAACCTTACCTTTGTGGGAGGAAATTTGGTGATAAAAAAGTTTGCAACAACACAGAAGGTCTTGCTGACCAGAGGTACACACAGTGACTGGTGGAACATGGCTGCAATCCGGTAATTTGGGCCATAGAAAGGATCACTTATGGCGGGGCACAGCATGTTGTTTAAGTTCACCTGAGAAGCCTGGTGAAGGGAGAGACAATTACTCAAAATGATAAATCATTTGCATTGAAATACATAACTGAATGGTATGAAAAGATGATAGCATACTGTATAATGTCCAGTTTGAACAACAAAAACAACTGTTAACAGAATAACTGTGTTACATACAGGAGCCATCTGCTTGAGACTACGGGATAGTATTAGAAATTATTAAAATATTAAAATTACATATGAGAAAAAATTACAATATCTACAGTCTATAGTTGTGTTAACCTTCAAACGACGGTTACTGTCATTTGATGATCCAAACACAAACGCCAGGTGTGGTCATACGACGAGGCATCTTTCAAATGTCCCGGGTAAAAATTTTCAAATTTAGCCCGCCAAGTGTCTCCTCAGCAACCCCTCGAGCCAACTAAATAAGCCAATCACCATACAGTATGCCTCAGTGCAATCCAAAGAGTATTGGAGAAAGGAGATACTTCTGCTCCTGCCTCCCCTTTTGTGGGAGCGTAGCAGAGTGAGAGCAGCAGTGTTACCACTGTGAAAAAAGATTTAGACCAAAAAACCTTTCTACTGAAGGAATTGATTTCGAGTTGGGAAGGATGGAAGATGCTAATGGTGACAGAGACAGTAAGTGGGAACCAGATGAAGTAATTTGTCGGTGGAAGAAAATGAACCTTGGCAATGGCGCTCTGTACTATTTGACGTACCAACACAAACAATGGCTGTGCCTGCTACCTAGGAAAGTGACTCTGATAGTACCCAGTAAGTGACTCTGATTCACCACCAGCTACTACTATACCCCAGGATAGTACAAATTTTACCTTTGTTCGGAGTGATGAGAGAGAGTTTGTGGCAAACATTCCCGACATTGATCCATCGACACCAGGCCTGTGTCAGAATTATTGGTTTCCAAAAGACAGTGAATATGTCAATTACGTTTTACAGTTCATGACCATAGATACAGTAAATATGATTGTGAAAGAAACAAATGATTTCCATGAATGGTATAACAGTACACAAGGTGTCACTAAAATATTACTGAGAGGACATTTGTTTGTTCTTTTCATAGTAAGTGCAACTCTCATGTTATAACATTCTATTCTGTTTAGTTTGCCCTGAAAATAAAATTTTATTTCATAGAAAGTGTGGATTAGGCCTGCTGGGGATACTACAATAAAATTTTTAATTGGTTTTCTACCTTCTGGGCGATTGTGGAAAAGATTACAAAATAGTTGACGTGTAGCGAGGCAGCCATTACCGCTAGATCCCTTAACATTGCAATATTTGATGACATCATGGCCATTATTTTATTGCCTTTTTATACTACTCAAAGGAGAGTGAGAGGGAGATTTTTATTGTGATTTTTGCAATCTATTTATAACAAATCCAACTGAATGATATACTGTACACTACTGTATATATCAATTTAATTAGATTTTTTAAATTTTCTAAATTAGCCCGTCTGTGAGGGGCAGTGAAAATAATCCTAGCCCATCGTTTGAGGGTTAATAAGTGAAAATGTAACTTACCTGTAATACATAAAGAACATGCTTTATCAATTCAATATGTTATCAGCTTACTAGCCATTGGGCAGTTGGTCTGTTGTGACCTTTATGTATTGTTCAGTGCAACCTGTCCAGTTAATTCAGATTATGTGCCTTCACCTACTGTAAGGACATCCAGTCTTAATAATTACATTGTCTCTATAAGACCGTGACAACATACATCATAACCCATTTGATATATTCTGCCTGAGTTGGCTAAGGTAACTCAGACAAATTTTTCTCTGTAATTTAGATATAAAATAAAATTTGTCCTGCAAATTCAGGTTAGGTTAAGTTACTGCAGGGAAATACTTCATTTACATACTGTATCATCTGTCTTGGTAAAGTAATGAGAAATTATAATCTTTCCATTAATTTCAGAGTACTGTACATTAGATTATCTTAAAGACATAATTATAACCTTCAACAATGAATCTGTCTCATTCTTACCACACCAATAATCTGGAGAGGCAGGAAATGATAAATAAGAAGGATGCCTAAAGACATAATGGTCCAACTCATGTCTCTGGGGTTCTCCACGGTGTACACACCTGTTGAAAGATTAACGTCAAATGGGGATCACGTGTACCTGTACAGTATATTTGTACAAACACTACAGCACAATGATGACATACATGACTGGTAAGCAATATTCCCTCTATACAGGCAGATTGCACTATAGCTCCTCCCCGACTTACGGCGGGGTTAGGGACCCAAATCCAGGTAGTAAGTCAAAAATGCTTAAATAATACATAGAAAATCTAAAAATGGAGCCTCTTTTTCTTCTCAGCACCACAAAACTCTCACTTTTAAGCTTGCCAGCCATTTTAAAGTGAATTACAAACGAAAATTTTCTCCGTGTACTGACGTTGGGACTCAGAAATATGTAATTTGACAAAATTTTGGTACGACTGAGGCAGGTCATAAGTGCAGGTGGTTGTAAGTCGAGTAGGTTGTAAGTCGGGGAGGAGCTGTACATGTTTATGTGAACATTAAAGGACAAACAATGATATCTTACAGGCAGTCCTCGGTTCATGAACTAAATGTATTTCTGAAATTGTGATTGTGAACTGGATCAATAAAGCTCATTGAAAAATTATATAATTACTGTAATTAATTGGTCCCTAAATTCAAGTGATCCCACATTTTTTAAATAAAACAATAATATATACAGAATTATTAAACATACATTAATAAACTAATATTCTAATACAGGTAATAATAATAATAATAATAATAATAATTATAATACCTGTACATTGTCTCTAAAATAAAATTCACAAATATTTTTTTTTTACTATGGTCACTGATTGTTAATAGTTCATACAGTAATTGAAGAGATTTACACTAAATAAATGATGAGTGTTTGGCCACAATACAGCACAAAATATGTATGACACTCTGCCACTTAAGGGAGGACACTTGTGTGAAGTGCAGTACTGTATACTCTCAGTGTTTGTTATCCCCATCAGTGGCAGTATAATGTTTGGTAACTGAGGATTGTCTGTACAGTATTCATTAATCTCTATACTTCCATCACTTTACACTCATATCAAAATAAGAGCACTCATTACCTCACATAACTATAAAAAATAGAAAAGAGAATCCTTTCCACACTAATCTACAGTATGACTAATAATGTACAACTAAATTATGTTTAAAATTTATATGGACTAAACTTTAAAGCTATACTATTAAAATATAAACAATTAAACAGAAGAAGCTTCATTTGTTGACTCCAGTAAAAAACTAAATGAAGCCGAGTCATCCACATTACTGATGGAAGCAGTGCTCTAGGGATGGTACAAGATCTGCGATACATGCATAATATGCACTAGCATTAAGCCAATAAAGCAAAGGCAACAAGAATCTGACCATTGACTAAATCATGAGCTTTTTTTTCATCCTTAAATTCATTCTTGTTAGCCAAACATGTCTCAACCTGCTCAGCAACAGAGATCACCTTTGTGGCCTAAACTTAAGTGCCATTCTGAGAACTTGGATAAATACTCTGACTTAACTGACATGATTGGAATTTGAATCAAGTCCAGATCCTCAAACCAGAACATTCACATCTGACATATCTCAACTGCTGCAACCTGTTACCTGGACTGTGTTCCTCTATGAGTGAAGGGCAATGCCATATGAGAAGCACAGTGGTGAACCTCTGAATTTGTAAAATATTAATGGAAGAAAACTAACAAATGCTGGAAAAAAATAAATTGAATTCAAGTCAGAAGTGGAAAATCATCATGAATTGTGTATACTGTACTGTAATGTAGTAAATAATGTGTATTGTACCATCAACTTGGTACATCAGGGAGACTTTATTTGAGTTTTCTAAGTTCCTCTGTTATATCATTACCAATATTTTCAACAACCACAGTCATTCCTAGCAATACCCCCATTTGAAACTTTTCAGATTTGTTATGGCAATTATTGCAGGTATTCCTTGTATATAAATCTGTCCCTATACTGTATAATATGGACACGAAGTAGTACCTTAAGCTGTGTATTCTTATATTACTCTATTAATTATGTATAGTAAAGTATTACAGAACATGTATTAATCCTATGTAATATAAGAATACACAGCTTAAGGTACTACTTTGTGTCCATATTATACATATACAAGTACAGTACAGTACATGCAAATGGCAACTGTGTTAAACTTTCATTTGGCTTTTATTTACTGATTTGGCAATACAGAACAGTATTTTTTGTAACTTATTTATTGGTAATTTGATTTATCCCTCACATTTACTGGTACTGTATATATTGTTTTAAGAAAACTATGGCTACAGGAGGAAAATACAGTGTGTGCGTCTTATATGTCGTAAAATACGGTACTTTTTGATGACTTTCCTAAATGCAACTGTTTGTCACTGTGCCAGTCACAAGCTTGAACTTAATAAAGGTGATGCTGTAAATGAAGTTGCAGGTTTGAATCATTTACAGATATTTTGTGATAAATTGTATTCCCTTTACCATAGGTCTCCTAACAATCATGATAAGTTAATTGCATGTACTGAGGCTCTTCACTGTCAACTGTTGAAAATTGGTCATGTTTTTCGTGTGAGACGGGTCGCTTTAGCTTACTAAACTGTAAAAGCAATACTGTATGGAAATCTTATAAAGCTATTTGGCAGCATATTGGAAGAGCAAGCTGTGTGATGCTTCAAGAACTAGAGCAGAGAGCATAATACGAGGAGCTGAAAAAGTACTAGAAACATCAGGTTTCGTAAATAATTTGGGCTTCTTCACGGGCACTTTGCTTGGATTGTCTGAACTGTCGCTTGGACTGCAGAACCGAAATTGTACACTTTGTAAAGCACATGAAGAAATCAACTGAACTATCATGGTTCTTGAAAGTCAGATAAATAAGCCATGAAAATTTTATATTGTAGTGCAGAAGGCAACAACAGTAGCCAGATAATATTTAATGGGATAAATTTGAGGCCTGGTAAAGTACCTACGTTACTTTACACTTACAACAGTTTTCAGGAGTTTGACCAATAATATAAAATCTAAGCTGTTTGAATCTACAACACCTTTCAATGACAAAAGTAAAAAGTTGATTAACTAGTCAAATTAATTCAGCCCCAAAGATTAAGTGAAGACATGGCTTCTTAGTGGCAAAAGGTGTGCTGAAGAAACTACGTGTAGAAAAAAGCAGCAGGTGACAGAAAAATGCAGATTGTATATCATTATGGGACATTCTGTAATGTAAACCTGTATATATTGCATGATCATCATATGTATACAGGGAGACCCCGACTTACGAACACCAGCTGATATGAACGAGGTCCAATAAGGTCAATTATTTTAAGAATCTGACATACGTGGTGGTGGTAATAATAATAATAATAATAATAATAATAATAATAATAATAATAAAAATTCATAATAAATAAAAATTAAAAATTAAAATAATAAAATAATAATGATAATATTAATAATTATAATAACATAATAATAAAGAAATACAAAATTAAAAAAAGGAACAAGATCAATAGTGAGAAACAATATACAGTATGTATGTTGTGTTGTCAATAGTAAGAGAAACAATTGAGACCCTGCAATTGTGTGTGAATAAGGCAGAAAGTCAGATCAGCAACCTGGGACTTGGTCACAATTTTTGTGACGCCATATGGCAGCAGGGTCTACCATTAGACAACACTTTATGCTTTCACTATCTCCCAGCCAATAGTATCTCCATGTTTGGTAGCTGCCTACTACCTGCTAGTTTGCACGGCGTAGTGGCACGGCTCGTGGGGAGCAATGTGTCACCCAGCCTTGAAGGAGACTCGGTACGCTTTACCCTCACAGCAGCATTAACGTATCTCTCTTTTGTTACCCTCATCATGGCTCCCAAACACAAACCTGATGCAAGTGATCGTAGTGCATCCAAGAAATGGAAAAAATTACAATGGAAGTGAAAGTTGATATAATTAAACATTCTGAAAAAGGCGAAACACCTTCAGACACTAGTAAAGTGTTGGGCTTCAGTCAGTCAACGGTCAGAACAATTTAGAAAGACAAACCGAAAATTCTTGAATGTATAAAAGGATCTACACCAATGCATTGAATTGTGATAACAAAACAAAGAAGTGGATTGTTAATTGAAATGGAAAGATTGGATGTCATGGTCACAATTGCACGGCCAGTATAATCAACACTTAATTATTCATATTATGCTCCATCGTCCACAAAACATGTGTGAAACTAATGAGTTACCCCTAGGAAGAGACTTGTTCCCCTCCCCCCCACTTTTTTACGGGGAATAACCCACCTGGGCACAGGTCATCGACCGACAACGGGTCCTAGGAAGAGGTGCCATCCGTTTTCATTCATAAATCCTGAAGTATACTGTACTCTTACAATGTAAATTGAAAGTTATGAGATAAAATGTATGAGTAGCCATAAGTCCGACACAGTATTCCCTTAAACCTTTCGCTGCATTTCCTGCACTTGCCATCTTATTCTGGCTACCGTCAGATGATTTTGTTCAGCTTAGGGAAACTTCCCACAGCCAGAGGGTTAAAGCGGTTTTAAAGCTTGCATCCCACAGAAACTCACGGATTGCCATGGAAAATAAATAAAATAAATCAAAGGCGGTGTTCCAGGGATCAAGGGGAGTCAACACTGCAGGACAGTACACAGCACCATATTTCCCAGGTCATAAGATGCACCCTATAATTAACAAGGTATATTTGGGAAAAATAATTTTTGCAGATTTAATAGCCATATCACTGGCTATATGCTATCATGTTTCTCACTGCCACAGCTAAATATCACTTTATGGATATTTATCAAACATTTGTTGGTATTATTAATAAAATTTACCTAATTTAATACAAAAGGTTGTAATTATACATATAGAGGTCCCTCGATTAACGAACACAATTGGTTCCACAGAGTCGGTTGTTAACCGAAAATTTTGTTAACTGAATCTATTATTTCAATGGGATATTGGGTAATGGGTCTAACTCACAGAAAAAGTATACGTACATACAAAGTACAGTACTGTATACTGGTAGAATTAACAAAA